CTTTGACGATACGATATCACAATATTTTGGTTATTGTTAGATTCCTAGTGACTAGAAATAGGTTGTCAGGACTTTCGGCTCATAAATGTAAGTGAAACTGTTTTCCTCAGACTGTCTCCTGTTAAAAATCTGCCCTAAATTGCCCGAATGTGTTGTTTGTGGAATCCGGATTCAAGGTGCTGTGTGGAGTTGGTGATGACGGTGGCTGCTACTAACTTGCTCCAAGCCCCATGTAGAGTGCACCCATCTTCCTTCTAAATTCTCGGTAAATGTAGTGTTCCCTGTGTAACAGATTGCCACTGCTGCTTTATTCTTGCTCTTTATCCTTTATTCTTGCTTTTTATCCTTTATTCTAATTCTTAGTGGTGTGGTTTATTTGATGAATGCCGTGGGACAGTAGTTGAGGTCTTAGAGATGAAGTGCAGTATCTGGCCAGGTTCTCAGTGCAATGCAAGCTTAGGCCCCAGTGTTAATACAAGTCACTTTAGCACAGATAGGCCTCCTTAGCACGAGCACTTTCCCCATCTGGAACTCTATGTACTTAAACTTAACAAAACCTACGTCAAATACCTCAGCACACACACTTTATGTACCAATTAGCACAGCATTCAATGAAATTATTTTTAAATGTCTAGAATATTAAATAAAGATATGTTAACTTTTTATACCACATTGCCCTTGTCCTTCCTTTTTTATGCCAGAACTATTTGTGTGAGTAATTAATAAGGGGATACATATCACTCGGTTACAAGTACATGCCTGGATTTTGAGTAGATTTTTAAGCTTATTTAGTTTAGTTTGTGCCATAGACTGTATAAAGAAGTGGACTAAGTGAGTGTGACGTCACCCATAGCGTTTGACTCCAGACAAATGAAGCTGACGAGGCTAGTAGTTAAAGGGACAAATTAAGTGAAATAAAAAGAGCAGGTGAATGTGAATATTTTACAACCAAAATAAAGAGAGGTGACTATTTTTCAGTGTAAAGTCGATGGAGCCACAGTCGATGGAGCTGGATGTACCCCAGTGCTCACTTCTATTTGGAACACAGCAGATTGGGGGTTAGTTATGTCTATTTACAGTTTATGATTTGTACTTAAGGGCAGTGGTGATGTTTGAGCACAAACCCACCACATATTTATTTATTTCTACATATTTAGTCTGGTGAACACGCATTCCCCTGCTGTCAGTGTAGATGGCCCAAGGAAGGGCATCCAGCATAAAAACTTAAATATATAAATCACATAAATGACTGTGCGTCTGCTTCACTAACAGCCCAGACTGAACCTCTTCACCTCTTACACAGAACTGTTTAAAATACCATTACAATCGTGGGTCATTTTCACCTCTTAAATGTTTTTAGTGCAGTTCACGATTGCTAAAACACACAAACGACTAGAATTTGTAACTTTACTCAATTAGATCCAGACTTTAATGTTTGAACTTTTTGGCGTTGTCCACAGTTTTCCGCGTAGCCTCCAGCCACTTTCATTTGAGTCTTTAATTAAATATGTGCTATTACTTTTTGAAAGATTGTCCTGGTGCCCTTGTATCTTGCCTATTAAATTTCAAATTCTCATTTCCTTTCTATGTAGAATGAAGCAAATTGGTAAATCATACGAGCTGAATTATACATTTAACCAAATGTATTATTCAGATATTAATTTTTCACTCACGGTTTGTTGTTTTACAGAAAATTAACCTCGAGATGAACCGACATTTTTTGTATACTTTGACAGATTAGTTCATGAATAATTTTGTCAGAAATTCACTTTTTTTTTGCAAGATTCTTGGTTTAATGGAAGCAATTTGGGAGCTTTTGTTCTATCCGCCTTTCCATCAAACAGTAGCTTTTTTCATTGGCCTATCCTTCACTTCTCCGAATTCAACTTGGCCCCTTTTAGCAGGCACCCCGCTGAGCTACGACTCTGCGCATAAATAGTCTTCTTGGAGGAGCACTCTCCATCTTTGCAGCCTGACCTTCTTCCTGTCCTCACGCTTCATCCTTTTTGTATTCCTCGCCTATTCACGACGGCGGTGCAAAACCCAGGCTCCTATCACTGCTATCTTTTGTATCTCTCAGCACTACAGCCTCCTCTCCTGTACGTATGCTCACCCGTCCTGGCCTTAAACCTTTAACATATTCACTCACACTCTGCTCTTTTTGTTGTGAATCATTTCTTTGTCAAATAATTCTCACTCAGCTCAAACTGCGAATACTGCTGAGGTCTTGTATCTTATCTCAATTCTATTTAAGAAAAGTTCATGATGCTATTACTCTGCAAAGGGACATACATCTTAGTTTACAAATGTTAAAAAGGTTACACGGTTAAATGTGATTAATATTGAGTAGGAGCCATTCATTTTTCTTCCCATGGCAACTTCTTTGTGGGCTGGACTTAAAATGTGAAATTCTGTGTGTGCATGGAAATAATTAACCACATATTCATCTATATAGTGCTATACTATACAGTAGTATAGTATATAGTGTATAGAAGTATGTAATGGAAATGAAATAAATGGTAAATGGTCACATTCACATAACACTTTTCCATCATGGCACTCAAAGCACTGTGCATTAAGGAATCACTCATCCTCACTCATTATATTAATGCTGGGAAGTAGCTGAATATATGTATCAAGAATATGTATTCTTAATACTTTTTTTCATTTGGTCTTATTCTTATTCTGGATACAGTTACTTTTCTCAAATCAAAAGAATACATGACAGTACTTAATCACACAATTTAGGCCTCAAATTGCTCTGTTCAAACTGATATGTGATTTTTCCTTTTCCAATTAGTGATAGCAAAAGGAGTAACAAATTGTGAAACAAATTTAAAGAAAGTTTTTATGAATGTTGCATTTACTTTTTATAATTTACCCTATAATGTAAATGCAACTCAATGTAAAAGTACTCTTAAGTATTCAGAATACAGTACTCTGACACTTTATTGCAGGTATTCAATATCCTGTAACTAAATTACAGAGTAAGTATTCTTCCCATCACTGCCCATTACACACACCCACACCAGTGTACGCACACACTGTAGTATTAATCTGTGGGAGCTGGGATATATCAATGAAGTTCATCATGTCAAGAGCGGGAATCAAACCTTTGACCTTAGGAGCAGAGGGTGAGCAGAGTACTAACTATATTTACAATGAAAAATGCATGCCGACTATAAAACCATTATGATGGCAAGATTGAATATATTTTAGATTTTTTGAAAGAAATATTCAAACTTATGATCCATAAATGTGGGTCCTTAGATCTGTTACTTTTTAGAGATTGGGTCCACAAATGTGCCACATTAATGCCACTACTTTCTGAAACTATTGTTAAAAATGTATTCACCTTAGTTTATTTATACTGAAAGAGAAAATGTGTCAGCTATGGCTATGATAAGGTAATAGGGCTTCATATTTAACTTGCATAATATGAAGACCAGAAAGTGACACCACTACACCAAGTTACAGGTCTGTTCTGAGGAGAAGCAAGCCTGCTCAAAATAACAATGCACATTTTTCCAACTATATTTTCTGCAGTTAAAACACAATAATGCGATGGTGTGGAACATTACAGGCAATAACTTGCCTATAGAGACAACTGTGTACTCTCCACTAGAAAAGTAGAGTATCTTTATTGTGTTAAGGTTTAAAGGTGGCCTATGATAATTGATTACTGAGATTCTAGACTTGCCACCTGTGCAAAAGGACCTTGACTTCAACACTGAAGCAAAAACATGTCAGCCTTCCAGTGACTCTGCGGGGGCCATCAAAAAGCTTTAATAGAAAAGCTGACATCATCATCTTATTTCGCTGAAAGCGTCTTTGCTGTAAATTCACTTGTAGATTGTAATTTGCGGTTGAAAATGTGTCTATTTTTCAAGATGATTCACCAAAACCTCTGGCGAAAGCTCTTTTTCTCCACAAGCGTCTCTTTCTCAGCTGGATGTCTTGATTGCAGGCCGACAGCATAGTGATTATGATTGCAAAATTTCCCCAAAATCGCCCTAAGAGAAAGAAGAGAAAAAGTCTTCCCCCTGCAATTGAAAAACATTTCTTATCTTCCATTACCTGCGGTTTTCAAAGTGTGGCAGTTACTACCCGTGGTGTGGAGAAGCTTGGATGAGTGGGCACCGGGCATGTTTTCTTTGTGGAACATCTTCACTTAATGTCAGAAGCATCAACATTCAAAACTGTTTTAGAAATGTTTACAATAAAAGGCAGTTTCATCAGTGTTTAGAATTCCATTGTCACACTGCTTCATGTTCAATTGATTCAAATGGATAGATTGAATGTATGCAACAAAATGAAACTTGTGTTATAGTGCCCCCTACTGTCCAAAAGAAGAAATATTAATAAGGTCAGACAGTTGCTCAATGTAATTCTGGGGCTTTTTAAAAAAAAAAAAAATTCCAAAATGCCACCTCTAATTGTGATGATGAAGAAAGCATGCACAAGTTCAATTAAATACATAATTCTGTTAAAATGAAACAGAATTTTAACAAATCCCAAAAAGAATAATTTTGCACACCTTACAGGCTTCTTTTCAAAGCTATTGAACTTGATGGAAAAAAAAAATATCTTGTCTTATGTCCAGAATTGCCAAAAGCAGGCCCGTCAGTACTAAGATTTAAGAATCCCGAATCATATAAAAAAAAAAAACATACATATTTGGTTCAGATCCTAGTTTTGGGTTCACAATAACTCATTTTGAAGTATGATATATTGCTGAAGAAATTATAAAACAATCGTACTGAAATGAATTTATGCTACCAACAATGTAAAAGCAGATTTATACAGCAAAAACAGTTCTAAATCTTATATTTTTACATCTTTATATTTAAGAAAAAACATACGAGATGAAGAATTAAACCCTTCTGTAATTAGTTTGCATCTGTAATGTATTAATTTAACTTTTTATTACTTAAATCTTATCGTATAACCAAAATAAACATTTTTTTCCAGTAGGGGAAAGAAAATAAGCAGACAAAAACTGTCATGACAAAGTTTCCATATTTATTAAAAATGAAAATGGCATCACGGTAACCTTCTCTGACCCACTTTTGAATGCAGGAAAGACTTTTCAAAAAGTTCCAGAAATAAAGAACGCAAAGCACAACTAAAAAGGATAAGAAAGTTACATTTATTTCAGAAAGGGCAACACATTCATAAATACTGAGCTGCTTACTGGTACTCAAGACCCAATGAGAGTTTTAAAGAGGCCAAAACAAAATATTCGCTTTCAAAACAGCAGACACTCAAATGCAGAGTAAACAACATGATAAGTATAGTTAAATGCCAATTGACATTTTAGCAGCAACATGTCAAACTGCAGATGGATTATTTTGAGTCTAAAGATCAACTATTTGAGTAGCTTTGTCTGACCAGAGCCTCACCAAGTTAGCATTTTAAGAACTCAAAATACGTTCCCTCGCTCCCCACATCTTATAGGTTTGTTTTAAAAGCTGGCAAATCCAAGCAGGTTGAGCATATACATCACAAGTCACAGTGCAATTTGATGAAAGAATCTGTGGACAGTGTTACACATGGAGAAATCTTGTCTGCTCGAAAAAGGAGATGGCGTTCCCTTGAAGACATACTTCATGCATCAACATCATAGTTCATAATAGTTCACTTTAAGGTCCAGGATCAGTCCGTGTCAGGGTCTTGCAGCATGATGAGATCCTGAGATTTGGGACGATCATGGACCCATTTGATCTTTACTTCTGAGTGGAAAGGGGGCGTCGAAAGAGCAGGATGTGGGGTTCTAATGGAGAAGAGAGAAAAATATTGAATTTAATTTGTGTAATGAAATTTTCATAGAATCAATCTGAAAAGTGCTAAACGTATGTAAACGTAACGTAAAGTATTTGGGTTGAGGCCAAAGTTAAATTGTTAATGCATTCCATAATGGTTTTTATTCAGGACTTTATTAGTAAAAGTAACATCTAAAAATATCATAACTATTGATTATCATTTGTTTTTATTATTTAAAAAAAAAAAAAAAAAAAAAAAAAAAAGGGACAATGCATACTAAAAAAAAGCAATATAATGCAAAGGAAAAACACAACATTCCATTCTTAGTCCTTAATTTAGAAAGTTAAAATGTCATAAAGCTAGAACAATCTTTTAAACTATTAGGATAAAAAAGTAAATATATGATTTCATTGTTTGGGCATGGCGTCTAGGTTTGTCAAAAGTAAATCAGATTCCAATCAATACTAAAACAAGTATGGAAACTGCAGGTATCCATACAAAAAGAAAATACACAATCACATTCAGGAGACAGATATTAAACTTTCCTGAGTAGCTTTAGAATGTATCAGAACAGGTATAAGAGAACAAAAGACCAGTATACGCCCTTGGACCACTATGGAACCTACTTGTATGACAGAGATTACATAGATTGTAATTTTCAATATTAAATAGTTTCTGTCTAAAGAAAGTTTGTATAATCACGGTATAGTAATTGAGTTTTCAAACTTCAGTATCAAACTAGTTCAGCATTTTTGTACTGTGACACTCCAATTTGCTCACAAAAATGATTTGTAAAAAAATTAAATGAGAAGTGAAGATATTTTATTTTTACCCTTGCTTGGTAAGCACAAGGCAATGTTTCTGTTTTGAAGATTACAAATTAGTTGTATTTAATCAAGACAATATTTTCACAGTTTCAAAACAACAATTTGGATTTAATCTTGTACAAAGTAGAAAGCACCCATCTACAAGGGCGTGTCATTTAGAGCCAAGGACAGCTGTGATGCTTTGATTTTTGGGAGTGTCCGACACCAGTGACCTGTATTCAAAAGAGGGTGTGGCGGGGTCCTGTTCACCATATGGTTGTGAATAACAAATCTCTGACATGTTTACTGCAAATCACTGCCTCAAGGTCAAAGACACTAGTTTCAGTGTTTGGCAGCTAATGTTGTTAGACTGTCAACTTCAATAGTACAAAGAGCACCCCTCCTAAATACACATCCCACCTGGTTAAACCGTTATGGTAATTAACGCCTGACAACTGAGCAACATTATAGAAACTAATGGGAGTGTCGTGTGTGTCTCAACTACTGGTAATGGCAGTCTCGGGAAGTAGCTGAATATGCATATGAATGAGTGCAAACTTTGAGTAACTGTAACTGGTAGTATAGATTATAGATTACGGTACTCATTTGATTTATGTAAACTACACATAATCTGTGAGAAATAGATAAATCGCACATGCTTCCCTCAAAGAGCAAAGTTATGTTCAGTTAATGATAAGAAATGCTTTAAAGACTGTAAAACTAAGTAAAAAAAAATTATAAAAAAATAAAAAAACTTTTTAATCTTATATTGAATCTAAAGTATTCTTCCCATCACTGTGTACTAGGAATCTGACTCTGGAATCAAATCCAACCCATGCTTTTTTGCCAAAACAAATGAGCAGCAGGGTTTTTATTTCCAATGCAAAAAGGGCAGACTTCAAGCATAATGAAGAATTGTATGTTGAGTATTATTTTCAGGAGATGTGACTAAATAAATGTAGTTTTGTAAAAAAGCTGTTAACAGCTGGGACTTTACCTGGTTGGTGGATCATATAGTGAACCCATCCCTGGCTTTGCTGCACACCCAGGTTCCTCCACTCAGATTCAGACATTAGATGAGTTTTGGGGACACGTTTGGCAATATCTTTTGGCAACATAACATGCCTAAAGAGGGAAAAAAAAAAAAAAGGAAGAAAAAAACATACATCAGGGACATTGTTGTTAAGTGAATCATTTCATCTTTCCAAAATACTTTAGCTTAAAATACTTTATTTTAAACATGTACTTCAATTCTTTTACTCAAGTATATTTTTTCTTGTGATAGTTTTATGTGAGTAATCTTCTGCCCCTGTATCTGTACGTTTATGTAAGCAACAAAATTGAGAATTGAACTAACCACTGCACAGGTATAACTCAGAACCATGGAAGTTCCCCAAACATACAGGTTATTGTCTCAAACCACTTTTACTTATGCTTCTAAACATGTGACTCCTGCAACGGACCACGCCACTTTGTCCCACTTATGCGTGTCACTTTTGTCCCACTTTACCATGTCATACGCACCTGTACTCGTATTTGTCATCGTCGTATTTGTCAGAATAGTAGATCTGTTTGTGTGACATGATGCAATCCTGAAATTATAAAAAGGTAAAAGGTTAAAATGTATAAACAAACTTTAATTCAGACTGTTTGCGTTTTAAATGTCATTCTGACTTGCTCGCATCGCAGGTATAACAACTAAATCACTACTAACAACATCTCTCGTTAAAACACGGTAGTATAACGCTAATATGTCTAGTAATTATATGTCAGTGACTTACAGAAATGTGAAGATTATTCCAATATTTGCCTTCCAAAAAGAGCAAAGTGTTCGCGTCGCTGTTTCCCTCTCGAATGTTCGTGAAACCGCTTTTCACCGTTCAAAAAAGCCTCCCCTCCTCCCATTGGTGGATTGAGCAGCGGAACTCGTTTCCTATTGGCTGAAACATTGACCGCGTCTAATTTCTGTTCCTTGTCTCCTTTTAACTTCACTTCCTCGATTCCTCAGCTGTAAGTCCCGCTCACTAAGAAGAAAGAGCCAATTGGAGACATCGTGCTCCTCTCCTCATTGGCTTATTCTTCAGCAGGCGTGACAGATGCAAAGGAATCGAGAAATTCAAGCATTGAAAAAGTAAGTGACTAGAAACGAGACGCACCCATAGACTTGTGACGTAATACTAAACTGAGATCTGATTGGTCAGTGTGAAAGTGGTGATTGGAAAAAAGTCTTGGCATAGGATTAGTACAAATAAACATGACACACATTCTTATTGTTATTACATAACTACGGATTAACAAATGTTATTGCATAGAGAATGTTATAGATCTCTCAAATAACGAACTCACCAGGAATATTGTAACTAAAACAGAGGGAGGGTTTTTTTCATCATAGAAAAGTGACCTCAGAGTAGATGACCCAGAGTTAAATTATTGATTACAACAGCTAAGTACAATCATCATAATTTTTAAAGTCTTACAGGAGAGCTATGCTATGTCATGGGCAAATGGAAATTGCAATGTTCCATCTGTTTGAAACACCTATGTCAATAATATTGCCTAATGTTTTATCACAATTAATACTAATATGTAAAACTGAAGATTCTACTAAATTCACTATTGTTAGGGAAAATAAGTGTTGTCCTAATGAGTTCTAGACTTGTAGAGGCAGAGACTCTGGATGTCTGAGGCAGGAGAAGTTTATTTACCATCAGGCCAGGACTGGGCTCGGTGACTTGAATACTCAACACTGCACATTAGTATTGGCTATTCAAGCCTGACTTACACGCAAGGAGTTTTAAATAGTAACCAAACAACAGCTTGGAAACAAACTGGTCGAGATAAAATGAGAAGTGCATAGCTTCTGTGAGACAAGTTGAGGAAACTGATCAGATTGAAAAAGGACAAATTCTTGAACCATTAGATGACGCCATAACAAGAGAGGAATATCAACAATGAAGTGGCGGTGTCCTTGCTAAAACTATGCAGAGGATGCAAAATTCCCCAACAAACATTAGGCCTAATAGACTGAGCAGTGTGCAGTGTTTGCATGTCTTCTTGCTCCAAGTGTTTAAGGACACTTGTCCCTGTTGGTTTGATCCTGACCAATCTACAGGAAGGTCACTGCTGAAAACAATTTGTTTATTGAAAGCAGTGCTATAATATAACCCAGATATAATTACTTTGTTAAGATTAAAAAATATTATTAAGGGAAAAAAAAGCATGTAGACATAAGTAACATGAGAAGCATTTATGGCCAGAGTTCCTGTTTCTTACAGTTACTGTTTTGGTCAGATCTTCTTACAAATATGTCAAAGGGAGCTTGAAAATGAGAGGGATGCAACAGTTAAAGACTAATTATGGAAGAAGGTTGAACAGCTGATGAAATGACCAACCACAAAGAGGCAACAGGGGGTTGTCCAGGGGTAAGTCCCAGTCAAATATAGTTAGGCAGACGTGTCAGTGTGCGGCTGGTCCTCTCCCCCTGTATATATACGTGCCAGTGTGTGTCTGAGGGTGTAGACTCACGCATGAAGTTGTATTATTACATTCTCCATCACCTGCCACAGTCAGCTGCGAGTGTCAATCAGGCTCAGACCAACATGGACCATTCGGACACGACACTTTAAAGTGATTGGCTGAGCGCTGGTTCGAGGGCGGGCTCAGTGTCCCTTTCCCAGATTCTGATTGGACGAGAGGCGCGTTGGTTGACGTGACGCAGCCTGGAATTCCCAAAGTTCCCAAGTTCACTGGAAGAGTACATCGCTGTGCATGCCGATTTCAACCAGATTTAAGAAGAAATAAAACCAACAATATCTGAAGTGTAAGTGATTTGCAATTAACGCTTTTCTGTTTGTGATTTTTCTGCATTTGGGCGTGTTTTGAAGCAGCTAGCAAGTGGATAGGTCTGTGTGAGAACGCGGAAGAGTGGGAATAGTCAGCATATAGCTACCAATCCCTTTGTTTACCTTCATGGGTGAACCTTGGATGTGGTTGCTACAACAGTAAGAGCCTACTAATCCACCTCAGTAATACATTTCAAGCAGAAGCGTGTCGCATACGTGCAGGCGGATAAGTGAGTATTAATCCCTCCATTGTTTCATTCAGTCCGATCCCAAGATTTGCCCCTGCGTTTGAGGTTTGACCATTTTTGGGCATTTAACAGCTGCACGAACTGTTTTCAACTGAGTGTTTTGGTTTGGAGAAATTGCGGTGTAGTTTTTGTAGGAGAAAGCTGAGTATAACTATAATATTTGTTGCTGAAGCTCTTGTTTAAGCGCAGTTGTTATGGTTGCCTCTGGAGTTACATAATGCATCATCAGCGACAATCTGTCCTTTTATCCATTGTGTACCGTGCATTCTGTACCAATGTGTAAGATAAAAGCAGTCTATTTGTGGCAGTAGCTTTTGACCTGGGAGATATTGTCTTATTAACCTGCTGTTTTCATGCAATGTTGCACAAATCGTACGTTTTAGTGTGTATATTTCCAAACTAGCTGTTAGCCTAGCTGCGTCAGACTTGCAAGCTGCATGAACGTGTTTACTGCTATTTTACATCACGGTGGACACTTGCAAAATCTCTGCAGCATCACGCTTTTATCCCTAAGGATGCATTTTGTTGTCGTCTGCAGAAACGAGAATAAAGCTGATCCCTCCCGTGCTGTGCCGCGTTGAGCCTGCAGAGGGCGATGTCTGACCACAGCAACAGCACTGGCAGCACTGGCTCCTCCACTAACAGCTGGACCCTCCTCTCCCCCGAGGTGAGACCACAGAACCGGCTCAGGAAACTCTGCCTAGGGCCCTGTGTGAGACGGGATGTCATCTAGAGGACTGTGTAATGTTCCTGTTCCATGATACAGGCCAAATATTGCAGGATTTAACATGCAATCCTGCATCTATCATAAGACAGTACTGCCAAATCATGACTCAGCCAAATGCAAATAAAGCTAATATGAATATTGACTGTATTTGTACACTACACACTGTAGATTTGCTATAGAAACAAGAGATTAATGAGCACAATGTTCAGACTCTTGCAATGGACACTTCCTTTGTGAACTGAAAAGATGTATTTAAATTACGAGGTACGTTTTGGCCATTATAAGTATTATGAAATAAAAGAGTTAAGAGTAAACACCATCCAGTGGAACATTTGGCTTCAAAACATAAGCTACAAAACCAGTGGCTTTCTTCCTTTGAATGTATGAAGTTCATTATGTCTTGTTGTGCGTGTGCTTTTGTAAAGATAAGATCCATATGACGGATGTTTATTTAACCTCAACATTCAGTACTCACTTCATTTGCATTTCTAGTAGCTCTCTGCAGCATCATATCAAGATATTTCCATTTAGAATAGTTTTTGTTCTCCTACAACACTACAACTGTGTAATGGACTCAAGGACTGTCTCTAAACGTGAAGAACTAAAACAAGCTTAAGTGAAGAGTGTAGTTTTATTGCCCCATTGTTGTTCTCTGTTCCACAGGAAGCAGCTGTGGAGAGTGTGGGGCCGGTGGATGACGGCACTGAAAGTTTGGGAGATGTGCCCAGTCTGTCGGAGGAGCTGGCAGGTCTGTGTGAAGCTGTGGTTAACGCAGAGGTGCCTATTCTTCTGCCCTATTGCCTCATTGTGTCTGTTTTATTACAGGAGCCACTGCAGAGTTCAAACACATTGACATTCCAATAGAGACGGTCCTGTCTGAGGAGGGTCACCAGGTTAGTACAATAGACAATGGATATTCATCTTATCACACACAGGTGCTACATGTATTGAATGAGCTTACCCAGGGGAATAATAATATACATGCTATTAGAATGTTTATATTTCCTTGGTATAATAATAATTGTAAACATGTAAAATTCACACATTAAAGGACCTATATTACGCTAGTTACAATGTTGTTTCGTCATCACAAACATACTTGGAGTTGCGTTATGTTTCATTGACACATGTTTAACACACAAGTTCTGCATATTTAGACTGAGTTCTTCTCTCAAATAGAAAACACTCTGTTTCACCTTGTGATGTCATGTGGTAGTACAGGAAGTGCTCCACTATGTTTTTTAATTTCATAGACCTTCACTAGAATCATTTGGATAATTGAAACTCTGGACATGTGTGGATGTAATGAAACACAGCTCCAGATTTTTGATGAGGTAACAACATTAAAATCTAAAATCTCACAAGAGCCAATGTTGTGTAATGTAGGACCTTTTAATGATGAAACCACAAGGCAGAAGCCAAAAGCTAGTAACTAGCTGTAACATGCACTCTTTCTGTTTTATAATTAACAAAATCGTAATTGAGTCTTATGCCAAGTGTGTGTGAGCTGTCATGGCATGTCACTGTATTTGACAGTCCTTCAGCGTTCATTATAATGATCTGGCAACCAAGTCGTAGCTCATTCTGTTATCTGCTTGGACTACTAAAACACAAAATGTTACTTAAACAAGATGTTTTTAGAATTGTGAATAAACCAAAATAACAATTTTGGTTTATTCACAGTGTTATGTTATCTAATGTTAAATTAGATGTTTAATGTTAATTTATTAATTTAAATATTATTGAAGTCAAATCTATCATTACAATGACATACACTTCGCAGCTGATGTTATCTGCATTCCTTGTGAGTGTGAAGCTAACTGTAGGCACAGCTCTGTCTGTAGCTCTGTTTCTCAAGTTAGACTTTAACCTGAGCTTTGTCTTCAACTGTTTTGTTTTTTTTTTGGCTTTGTTTGGTAATCTGTTAATTGTGTAAACACCCCCAGTGTGATGCCACTGCAAAGTAGATATGGATATGCACTGTTTTGTAGATGGTAGTAGAAAATCCCACAGAATACGATCACATTTAACATTAAATTTTAACACGTATTCCTTTATTGTTCAGATCTGTCAAGAGACCACTCCAGAACCAAGCGAGGGTCCCATCCCGTCAAGTCCATCCCGGGTCAGCCCGCTCCCATCTCACTCCTTCAGTCCCCTAGAGGAAGACCCAGAGAGCCAGCCTCCTGTGATCCATGACATCGTAACCAGTTCTCCCAGTGACAATGACAACCTGGGCACCGTCCCATTTGTCACTAATTTGGATTTGGGGACCCCTCTGGAGATCCCCACCTCTGATCTGCTTCAGGACGAAGAAGAAGTGTGCTGTGCCACTGACAACCCGCTCTCTGCTGTACCAGTGTTTGACAAACCTGCTGACATTGGTCCAATTAGTGAGACACCAGCGGAGGAGAGTCCAAGTCCTCAAGAGGAAGATGAATCAAAACCAGATGTCCCTTTAGAGACCCTTACGGCGGTTGAAGGCACTGAACCCTCACTGCCTGTCCCACACGATGACAGGCAGACAGAGGAGGAGAGCAAAGAGGAGCCCAGCACAGAGCCAGAGGTGAACGAGGAGCCATTTTGTCCCCCGGACCTGCCTGAAACTCCTGCTGGTGTGGAGGTTGAAGACATTGAAGGTCCAGTACCTGTCGAAGAAACAGGCGACTCAAATGTACAAAAAGAGGAGACAGAGGAGCCCCCAGAGACACTAACCCAGGATGAGGAGGTGGAAAATGAACCAGGTAACATTATATCATTTCATTGATAACCGAGAGGTGACGGTACTCAAGACGAATATCACTAAACATTACTAGCACAAACATTTAAAATCATACTCTGGAAATTACATGAACCAATTCAACAAAATATCAATAAATCAAAGTGTAGTGGTTATGTATCAAGCCATAAAAGAAACATGCAAATTATGTTCCTTTGATTTTTATTATTTTTTTGTTGTTGTTTGATTTAAAAGCCAAGATCACTTAGTATAAGAACCAAAATAATAGTCACTTGTAGCCCTGTTAAACATTAAACATTTGTGGAAATTTTGAATCCCATTTCCAAGTATATCCCATAACGGGTAATGATGGCCATAATCATTTTAACATGCGGTCTATGCCATTCAAGTCATAGTCCCATTCACACAAATCATGATACCACTTGGTTTCCCACTTTACCCGTCCATAATAGGTTGTATAATGTGTTAGTTTGTAGCTCCTGTAATTACCACTTGCAGATAGGCAGCGGTAATGAGAGCCCCCTTGTGGTAGGATTGTTAATCACGTCTCATATCCGTGGCATGCTGGAAACTCAAACGTGATTTATTGGCACGACAGAGAAGCGCGCTCCCTGTAGAGAAAATGAGAAACAGCCAGGCATGAAATTACTGTTGTCATAATTTAGAAGGAAAATGTCATGCATTTCCAGATGTGTAGGGGCAGACATTTTTACATATTGTTTACACTTTGTTTTTCTTGTTGTATTTTATTTTTGGCGTTTTAATTAAAGGTGCACTGTGTAACTTTCTGGTATGACATTAAACAGCTCCACCTTACATTTATTCAATTACAGGTGGTTTTATAACTCAAAAATATGTAGAAAAACAGGCATTCTGACTGAGTGGGGTTGCCTCTTCACAGATCTGACCTTTTTAACTTGGGTTTGGTTTTTCTAGACAGAGCAATAACATCTCCACAAAAGTATTTAACTCCTCCACCAGAAAAGTTACTTAATCCACCTTTGAATACCTTGTAATTTTACTTCCTGCTATAGAGCCATCTTACACTTTTGAGTCTGGAGACACACGTGGCTTCGATGATGGACTGAGGAGGAGGAATTTACCCAGGACGTCTGATGAAGAGGAGGATGAGGAGGATGAAGAAGTGGAGTTTAAAATAGAAGAGAAGAAAGACACCAAGCCATGGCTGTCTGTGAATAAGTGCATCGTGGCTGGTCTAGTCCTACTGTTCCTGGGATCCCTGTTCCTCTCAGGTGAGTTCCTCATGAATTTCCCCTCTACAAAGTACAAAAGTAAAAGTACAATACTTCAAAAAATGTACACAGTATCCTTTTTACTTGAACTTCACTACATTTGAGAGCAGTTTATACTGAAAAGTAAAAAGTACTTTGAGACCTGCTGAAATGGCTGAGACGTATTTGCAGCGCATTTGATTTGAGTTAACGTTCCAATTTTGAACAAACCAAATACACAAATACACAAAAACAGCTTGAAATTTTAAGAAATCAGTTGAACCACTCAAAATAAGATCTGTTTTAATCTAAATCACTTTACATTTGATGTTTTAATTTACAAAATACTTTTATTTTTTTACAGTAAAGGTACATTTTTGAAGAGGTACTTCAGCACTTTTACTGAAGTAGATTTTTTCATGTGATACTTTTACTTTTACTTGAGTAATTTTTTGCCCCTGTATCTGTACTTTTACTTACTTTTACTTTTAACAAAATTGAGTACTTCATCCACCACTGCCCCTGTATTAAAAGATGTTGTGCTTTGTATTCTCTGTGTGTTCAAACTTCATTAATCCCGTGTTGAAATCCCATTATATTAGATGTGATTTTTGACTTTCAAAGTGTCAATGAGACCTAATCAACGCTGATTAAATGCATGCTGTGTTTTAGAGTCTGTATAGAGTCCAGATAACAACCATTTATTAAGTCATTTTAATAAACTCATAAGATAAGAGCACCTTTATTTGTCCCACAATGGGAAATTACAGTGTTTCAATGCAAAGTACAAGAAGGGCAGGAAAATATTAAATAGCAATCAAAAATACAGATAAATAACTCTTAAAAATAAATCTAACCACTTCAACTAGAAGATTAGAATATACTTTATTTTAGTTTATGTATATTATTATTTTATGGTTTCTACATCTACAATCAATAATATGCTTTTATTTACTCATTATTAATGGTCCTATATCACCCAAAACTGATCCTTGTGAGCTTAAAGCCATATTATAATGATTTAGCTTTTTTTGTTTGTTTATTTGTTTTATTTACACATGTTTGAGTAACATCTCTGTCCATACCTCCAAAGCTCAAAATGCACCTTGTGATGTCATTAAGTGGTCATTTCAACTTAGCAACAAACCTCTTACCTTTAGTTCTGTAGAGACTGGTAATTCCAGTGTTAAATCATCCAAATGATTCTAGTGAAGGTGTGTAGGGTTTAAAAACACAGTGGAGCACTTCCTGTGTTACCACATGACATCACAAGGTGGAACTGAGTGTTTCCAGTGCATGCAGAATTGTGTGTTAAACATGTGTGAATGAAACAAAACACAACTCCAGATATGTCTGTGATGAGGAAACATCATAGATCTTAACACAGAGTAATATGCACCCTTCAAGAGTAAGACAGTTTTCTCATTTTCAAGTCTATAGGCCTCTACTTATCTCTCCATGGTGACGTAGTTGTGGCTGTGTTGAAGTATGGTCCGTGGCCTTGATAATGGCAGGTCCCGTCCATGTTGAGATAAGGCAGCTGTGTAAGCCTCCAGCTCTCAGGCCAACACTTAACAGCTTGTCCGGACACTTATCTGACCCCAGGCTTCACACAACGCCAGCAAATAAAAGGCCTTACTGACAGTGAAGTGAGGAAAGAAAGTATTATGGGGGAATAGAAAAGCAACATAAATAAATCTGAATATCAAAGTTGAGCAGAAAAAATTTGATATTAAAAGTGTACAGTGTCTTTTTTCGTACATTATTGTCTCCAGTTGTCTTGGGATTTTATGGTTTTACTTTAAGTGTTTGTAATTTATCTTTAACTTGGGGGTGGACACTGGCAGTTTCTCTTGTAATTTCCTCTCTTTATGCAGGTAAATAATAACATATGTTTGCTTTGCTCAAGACCAAAACATAATAAAACAGTATTTTGTTTCTTTTTGCTGTCATAAATTCTACAATAATATTTACTGACACCTTATAGTTACCGTATATATTGAAGTTAGACCATAATTTAACTTTTAAGGGCCCATACGTAGCATTGTCATTACCTAATCAGAAACATAGCTGGAGTTGTGTTTTGCTTCGTTCCCCCATATTTAGGCCGCGTTCTCCTCGTGATATCATGTGATGATACAAGAAGTGCTCCACTGTGTTTTTAAACTCCGTACACCTTCACTAGAATACTTCTCTCTACTGAACAAAAGGTAAAGGGTAGCTTTTAACTTAAACTACTACTTCATGACATCACAAGGTGGAACAGCATTTTGAGCTTTTGATATGTAGACAGATTAATAATAAAAAGTTACTCAAACATGTGTGAACACAACCCCAGGTATGTTTTGGTGAGGTAGCCACATTTTAATATGGCTCAAAGTTCACAAGAATCCATTTTGCATAATGTAGGACTTTTTAATTCTGTCATATCTTATCTTTAAATCGATTAGCTTTTTAATCTGAAAACACCTGTTCCTACTAAACATACTGGAACAATACTATATCAATATGCATAGCCATTTTCTAAAATAGTAAGTTTTAGTAAGTCTTGGTAACGTTTAGGTCATGACTCTGCCTACCAACACAATACACTGCCTTTCACAATAGTTGTATCTTTCACTGTTGTTTCAGTTTGTGTGAAGAGATGTTCCTTTCTTATGTGACAGGTGACATTGACGGCCCCGAAGTGACAGAAGGAGAACAAAGCCAGGTCTGTTCCCCTCTTTATCCCCGTTACTCAATAACCTTGTGAATGTTACAAAAAACAGGTCAAATAGCTAGAGAGGTGTGGCTGTTTTAAATGTTAATCTTATTTGTTTGCTGATTTGTTTTCATCTAGGACTGGCTTAGTGCTGATCCAAAGGAAATGAAAGAGCTATTGGACAAACTTACACAAGAAAACCAACAAATTGCTCAGCTTGAGGCTCAACTAAAGGTCAGTGTAGCGCTCTTATTAATGCTAATGATGTTGTTTGCCCTTTTCAGACATTAAAATGTGTGTTTCTTATAGACTTTATTTTACTTGACATATCCAGCACATTATTTAGGTGAACTTGGCTGAAAATATGGAAGGAGGGAATGTTTGGGCGAATGAATGAACTGTGGACTGAGAAGTGGGACAGTTTTTGTACTTGTCTGTTTATGTTTAATTGTGTAAATGTGTAAAGGTTTCATATTTCCAGTTTAGTTAATGTTAATGTACGTCACAATCAGAGTATCCTGGATATTTAGAGTGGTAACTATGGCAACTACAGCACAGATATGGCAAGGAGCGAAACATGTTTGCAACTTTGGTAACTTAAAGCTTTTTAGAGTGTTTTTAACAAAAATGGGACAAGATATACATTGAATTAAGAACATAAGACAGTTGAAAAATACTACAGAGTCCCACAACATCAGTTTAGTCCAAGAGCAACACAAGACTGATAGAAGTTTGAGTCAAAAGTTGCTGCTTTTGCAGTATTTTTACTCTACTTCAGTTCACACATGCTCAGTTAGGCACCAGTGGTGGGAAATCAGGATACTGTGTGTACATGCTACAGTATCCTGGACACTATCAGAATATCCCAGTGAGAGTATCCTGGGTTCTTATAACTGGAATAATGGCTTATCCAGGAAACTGAAATCAGGATACTGCGTTTACATGGACACTCACAAATCCAGGATACTCAAAACCCAATCATAACCCGGATACTAGGCACTAACTGTATTTGTTGCTAAATATTTGAACTATTAAAAAATAACCTTGATTTGTTTCCATGTGTTAGGCTCAGAGAGAAGAGTTGGATGCGGCGTTGAAGGCAGTAGCGGTCAGCGGTGATGAACAGAGGAGGGCAGATTTGGAAACTGAAAATGCAAAGCTGAAGGACGAGCTTCTGGTGCTGCCTGACCTCAGAACAGAGCTGGAGAGTTTGAGAGCCAGAGTGACCGAGCTCAGTGCTCTCTCAGGTAAGACAGAGAATCACAAGTTTCGTTTTTTTATATAGCATATTTTAAACGTACAATTTCTAACTACCTTTTTGTCCACAGCTCCTCAGACAGTAGCCCCAGCCCCCTCCCTACCTGCCCCTGAGCCTGAGGATGTAAAGTCCCCTGCTCCTGAGAGGAAGAGCCCCCCAAATGAAGCCCACGTCAAACAGGAACTTCAAAGACAAAAGAAACTTCTGGAGGAAAGCAGGAAGAGACTGGAGACAATGAAAAATAAAGATGTCAGCGACCGCAAACATGTCAGAGATCATTTGGCTGAAATTCAAAAGAGGCTCTCAGAAAAGGTTGAGAAGTGGGGCAAGAAGAAGCCAGAGGAGTTGAAGTGGAAAGGAAATAAAGATAAAAAACAGTGGAAAAAAGAGGAGAAGAAAGAGTGGAAAGGAGAAAAGGACAAGAAAGAGAAGTACAAAAATGATGAGAAAGAGGTCAAATCAAAATATAACTCCCATAAAGAGGCTTGGAGGAAGAACCAGGATGAGTGGGAGAGGAAAAAGGGGGAACGGAAATTGGACAGAGAGGAGAGAAGGAAGGAGAAACCATGGCATAACAAACCCAATAAGAAAAGCCAAGATGGCTCCCATCATAGCCATAAACACAAGCCAATCCAGCAGGATTTTTGGAAGGACCAAGAGCAGAAACTCAACCGAAATATCCGCCCACAGCTCGGGTGCAAAAATGTGGAGGACTGTGCGGCCAAAGAGGGGCTGTATCCGGTCGAGTTGTCCGAATTTGATGAGCTTCTAGAGGGATACTTGAGCAAACTCGATGACCTCTCCTCTTCCAGTGGCAAAGACAAAATTCGTACACTGACCGCTCAGTTTTTCGAGAACGGAGTGTTTATTCATGATCGGATGCGCTTCAGTGACTTTGCAGAGGAAGTGGCAGACATTTTGGAAGATGCTGTTGATATTTTAGAGGGGCACAAAGACAACAATTCACTGGAGGAGGAGATGGAGGAGTTTGAACGAGAAGCGCTCTGGAAGTTTGCAGCCACAGCCTAAAAACTGGACAAAGAAATGTAACACTAACATATTCAAATCAACTGTGGGCTGATTCCAAGGACACGATTGCCTACCCTCTGCTTTTCAGAGTTGTAATTATTTGAAAAAAGAGATAAATGTCTGTTATAAAAAAAAATAATAATAATAAGCTAGACTTGTGCTTGTCTTTTTGGACTTAGTTGTTGTTACCTACCTCCATCAGGTCACTCATATGTGTTGTGTAGATTTTCCTCTGCTTCAGGCTATGGTGTTTTCTCAATAACAAGTGCATGTCCCAGTTAATAGGATAACTAAATACACCCAGATTTGTTTTTAATAAGAATTTGAAATATGTATTCCTTTATTTTATTTAAAACGTTTAATTACAAGAAAATCATATTTAATTTTGCTGTGTCTGTCACAGTTCCTCTCTGATTTGCATGGGCGTTGTGTGAAGCAGGTTTGAACAAATACTAGTCGTGGCAGGTGTAAGTGCTTTCCCTGCAGCGAACGGGTGGCTTATCTACAGGACGTGGTGAAGAGACCATTTCAGGTTTGATGAATTCTGGGTGTTTGGGGTGAGCTGCCACTGTTAAAAAGCCTGGAGTGCTTGGTTTTTACACCTCATCGTCTGTACTTGTCCATGTGCTCGAGCAGTAACCGTTAGAGGAGTTATGAAACGCTACAGGACATAGCAACAGCCTGAACTCCCTCAGTTTGAATCACTTTGATTATATTTTTACCTACACCTTTGACTTATTTTCTGAAGCTTGTTTTGTTGTTAATGTCGCCGTGGAGATCTGCAGCACATCATGTACATTTACTGGGTATCCCAGAGCTTCAAGTGAAATACTAAAGAGTCTATGAGACAGATTCCTTCGATGGATTTTAAATTCACCTTTATGGGATTGGCAACAGTGTTTTATCATTTTTGTATGCTGTGCACATTGTTGATTTATTAGTATTAGTTGTTATAATGTTGATGAAGGATCCTAAGTTTGATTTATGTTTTCACGTGTTCTTAATGTTGCCATGGTCTTGTTTAGAGATAGAGAGAGTTTTAGTTTGCGGTTGAAGCTTGAAATTGTTCATTACAAGTTTATGTTTATTTATTCTTATGTTGAATTCTGAACCACATAGTTATAGACTCCATACACATTGAATGTGAATATGGTTTATATACAGTTTGCCAGCTCATGCTTATGTGCCTTTAAAATGGCTCTATTATATCAATGGGAAATCTTGAGTTTCAAATATCAGTAATGTGCATTTCACATGAAATGGTACTGCTGTTTGGCAGAGTGAATGTCAGGTTTACACTTTAGGTGTCAAACTTTTATGTGTTAAAAATGTCTTCTCTGCTGTGTACTAGAATGTTTTTGATTCAAATTATTTTAGACAATTTAGACCAAAGGAATTGGAAGAGAATGCCAAAATATCATTTTGTTTTTGTTGGACAACACCAGGGCTAAAACATGAAGCTTTGATTATTTATGCACCCTGTGAAAAGTGCATGTATTTGACCCCTGAACATGTTTATAGTAGTCTTTTCTTTCACCTGTAATGTCCTCTTTTAGTCAGTGTTATGTTCAATAAACTTTTTCACCAATAAAAGTGTACTGTACATACATTTGTGGCCATTCTGTTTTAACTATTCATCATATTAAATTAGTGAAATGAACAGGTTCTGTGATATAAAATTATTGTGCTTTTATAAAATATGCCCAGGCTTATCTACAGCGATACTTCTAAATATGCACTATTATTGATTTGTAGAAAGGAACGACAGGCATGTTTTTATCACACATTTCTGATGCAAAGCTGAAATATTTAACTCAGATTAAAGCTCTTGTTACACTGCACACTTCCACATACACGCACACACGCACACACACACGGTCTCTGGCCCTGACACACTGATGACCAAGAATGTAAGCAAAGAGAGACTGCCATTCTTAACATTCTGCCAAAGCGTCACCTGAGTTCACTGTGGTCTGTGAGCTGTTCCTGCATGAGTCATGTTTTGTATAAACTCATTAGTGCTTACGTGTGTATGATTCAGCTACTTGATTAAAGTGGACAGGTGCTGATAATATCTGGATTTCAAGGGCTTTGTAAACACACTATAGGTTACTGGCTCACAAATGTTATCAATGGAAAGCGTACATGTGGATTTGGTAATTAAATTGATTTAAATGTAAACTGTTTAAATCAATATTGATAAATGACTTAAAAGTATTTCAAAACTTTGATCCCGCTGTTTGAGGTCACCATGACAACATTAACATTTTTCCTCTGTGGCCTCCAGGATAAGATTTTGGAAGCATATATATTGAGTTAATTTGACAAAGGCCAGTAGTGATGATCATGAACAACAACAATTCTGCAAGTTTATACCACATAGAGAAAGCCTGATCTCAGTAGCTAAGGATGGTTGGGTCTGGTCAGTACTTGGTTGGGACACCACTGGGAATGCTAAAGTGTGGCTATAACTGCTGTGGTGTCCTTAGGCATGACACTTCACCCAGTGAGTCTAGTGCACGCTCTTGCTGTGTCTTTCAGCAAGATGCTTCACACCTTTCTTTCTGTGTTTAAAGTACGCTGTTGAATGACTGTGACTACAATCTCTAAAATCTGCTCTACAGAAAATACTCTACAATCTGGCATTTTTACACCTATATCATGTATGTAAATTCTTCAAATCTTTTAATTTGACAGGCCATCAGTAATCAGGTCGCTGCATCTCGTGGTCTTGATTAGATGATTCTGGCTGATCTTCAATAGTCAGCCTTTGTATGTTCAACATTTTGGGTGCACCAGCTTGACTGTGCTCTTCCTGTTTTTGGTGCTGCACATTTGAAGGACAGTTTGCTCATTACTGGTCTGAATTGTGTTTAAGTTTGAGATGTTTATCTTTATTAGTAATCAGAGAAGGTTCATTTGAAGGAGAAATGCATTTTCCACTGATGCTGCAAATTAAGTCTATAAAACCAATAGGCTCATGACTGTGAGGCTAGACAGACAAAGGCTGCATTCACAGGTGAGATCTCAGGTAATGGTTTATTATGTGTAAAATGATTCTCTAATTAATGTCTATTCTATTTTCAGAACATAGTATTTTACTCACATCCACCATGGAAGCTGCTATCTCTACTGTGGTGTCCCAGTTCAAGAATTATGCTGGAAAGGATGGGTCAGCTAGTACTCTGAGCAAAGACGAGTTTCAAAACCTGGTCAGCTCTCAACTCCCAAACTTTGTTAAGGTACTGTAAAGTTTTATACTTCTATGAATGAAGGTCTTATATGTGACAAAACTGATTCTTGTGATCTTTAAGCCATGTTAGTTAGTTCTTACCTCCTCAAAAACATACCTGGAGTTGTGTTTTGTTTCATTCTCATGTTTTTGTAACTCTTTATTATTTAATTACTGTCTACGTCTCCAAAACCTCAAAAATGCTCTCTTCCACCTTGTGATGTCATGAAGCAGTAGTTTTCAAGTTAACAGCTGCATTTACCTTTAGTTCAGGAGAGATTGGCACATCCAGAGTTGAAATCATCCAAATAATTCTAGTGAAGGTGTATGGAGTTTAAAAACACAATGGAGCACTTCCTATATTACCATATGACATCGAAAGGTGGAACAGAGTGTTTTCAATTTGAGAGAAGGAAAACTCCAGAGTCAAAATAATTAAATAATGACAATACTGACTCTTAAAATGGCATGTCATTGCTATTGGTCATGTTTTACTCCAGTTTAATCAAACAGTTCAATGTTTGTTCTCTAAAATTGGGTTCACTCTTTAAAAAATAACTCATTCAAAAGCCTACTTCAGATTCCAGGCACTTAAAAATTATTACTAGACTTACCATACAGATTGAAGGTTTTTTCTCTTTTTTATTAATATTCAAATATCTCAAATAAAATGTGTTTCTACATGTGCAAAAAAAAAAGTTTGAGAAATGAACTCGGTCTAAATATGCAGGGTTTGTGTGTTAAACATGTGTGAATGAAACAAGACACAACAAAAAATAATGTTATATGGGCCCTTTGACGTTTCCATGAGTCGCATTGTATTAGTAGTTTTGCTGACATCAAACATAACATAACAAAACAATAGCGTCAGCAAAGTACAAGTAATATTTGTCTACTAAATGTGGACTCTGGCTCCTTTTGAAGTGACCGATAGAATCCCACAGTAAACAGCCTAGAGCTACTTCAAAATCAACACAGCTACATACGTTTTTTCTTCTGTTTGTTCATTGTATTTTAACAGAAGACCAGGTGACAGGATTCTTTTTTCTCACTTTTTTATAGTGTTATAACATTGTATTATAACAGGGTAGTGCACACAAACTGACTGCAAGTTAAATTTTGATTACTTGAATTGCACTACACTTTGAGAAATGCTAGATTGTTGGGAATGACTACTGATTTGACTGATTGATTGATTTGGGTTACAGGTATATTCTGACATTATTTCACAGACATTATTTAATATTTAACATACACACACCAAAAAAATTTAGGCTGAAACTTGAGCTTATTATGCCTTTACCCTTTATTCTTTTATCAGAGCGTCATCTTGACACCAGTTCATCTTCATAAATACAGCAAGAGCAACAAATCATTAACAGTACATCAAAGTACTACACAGCCCATCTAAGGATCATAATTCATGTATCTGCCCAGAGTTAAACATTTAAACTTCTTTATAAATTGGAAGAAAGTGGTGCACAATTTTAGGTAAACTTGTAAACTTGTTTCAGAGCTCCACTCCTTTAACAGATAGACAAAATTTCATGTTCTGATTTTCTTTTTTGATAAACATGGCAGTTCCTCTGGGCTCATATTGGCTATTTTGGATTTTGAACATAATACAATGACTATTCATAGACTTTATCTTTATAACAGATAACTTTATAACTGACCAATATCCAACCTAGCACTCATCTTCCTCTCATGACCATTACCGCTCTTGACCAATAGGTGGCAGGACAGTCTAGCAGTCACTGATGTTGCACCCCCAGCTCATTCATAACTCATTGGGTCTCCTCTCCCTTCACACCCACAGCTCAGCTCTGATCCCGGTGCTATAGACCAGCTGATGAAGTCCCTGGATCAGGACAACGACGGGGAACTGACTTTTGCCGAGTTTTGGCAACTTATTGGAAGACTGGCCAGTAAGCAAGCAGGTCTCGACTAGCCCATTTCCTTTTACTAGTTAACCATTGGTGATTTTATGGAAATCTGGAATAAAGCCAATATTGTTCCTCACACATTGTCATTCATTCACCACTTTATATGAGATGTCACTCCTCCCACACAGCACAAGGGGCACATTACATCCTTGATTTAGGGGCTTGTAAGCTTATCCCATCCTCTACATTGTCCTCTACATATCTAGTTCCATAGAGCTTCATAATGCCTGTTCAAAGATGTCCAACCAGGCGTGAAATAGTGCTGATGCAATTACAAGCCAGAAGCAGTGAACTCAGAAATACAGGTGTCTCAGGGATAATTTTGTCATTCATTTACTTTACTTTACTTTACTTTGGGGTGTTTCATTCACTAGGCGTAATTCTTCAGTCTAGACAGAGTTGTGCAGCCCAGCCCTGGGAATTTGTCTGAAAAATAAAGCTGTTGTGAGTGCATTGCTTTTTTACTTTTTACCATCTGCTTGTGTCCATGGAGATGCTCTTGTGTTGCCTGAAATGTTCCACAGTATGGCATTAAGCATATTTATTTAGCACTTACTCTATATTACACAAAATTACTGCATTCTGCAAACATGTATTCTTACTGTGAGTGAAGTCGCCCTCCACCTGTATCTTGCTTGTAACTATGGAAACAGTTGATATGCTTAATGCCATACTGTGGAGCATTTCTGGCAAAAACCTCCACATCTCCATGGAGACAAGAAAGTACAGAGTATAGACCAGAAATGTTGCATAGTACACCAACGCTTCAACAGTTTAGTTAATTTGACCTTTGTATTGTGGTGGCACATTTACTGGTGCCAAAGTGGGCGGGGCAAAGTGAGTGGGTGAGTCAGCAGACGGAGTGTTGGCTGGGCACCGTACTGAGTAATTAATCACTGGAGTAATGGTGTATGAGTAATATGTGTACAGATCTGATAGAGATACAGTAATATTTGACTCCAATGATTGTTGTGCTTTAACCTTTAATAAGTCACCAAGTGTGTTTGGGACAAGTGATAGAGTTTGCACAAAGTTTAACATTACAAAGAAATATGAGGTATAACTGGTAACTTTACAAAATTGATTGTAAAGTTACATGATGATTGGTGTGTCTCCTTAACCTCCTGGAACCCGAAGAAAAAAAGTGTATTGCATTATATATTTTTGGGTGATTTTTCTATCTACACTTTAGCATTTAGAGTTTGTTAATTTTATTTTTATTTATAACTTTGTAACATGTCCTCAGTAATGGACGCCTAATCCAACCTTGGTCTCCTCAACTTGGTCTGGTTTGGTGTCTGTGAAGATGGAAAGGTTTAATGCCATACTGTAAAACATTCCAGACAAAGCAATAACATCTCCATGGTGAAAAGCATTTGACTGACTCTCCAGCAGAAAAGTTACACAATGCACCTTTACTACCCATTGCTGATGTAGAGTCTGTTGTCTGTTTGTCTTCACTGAGTTGTTGCTTTGTCTGGAATGTTCCAAACTATGGCATTAAATTAACCAACAGGTGACGCTGAGCCAAATTGCAGGTCAGATCAGTGGAGAGGCGACCCTGCTCAACATAAGAATGCATGTTATTCAAGGTGTCTGTTTTGCAATACAAACACATGTAACATATTACGTAATGTAATGAAAGCAAGATAGACAAGTTTACTGTTATACTGTGGAGCATCCCAGTTACAGCAATAACATATCCATGGAGACGAAAGTGGAAAATCCCATAGTGCAGAGGTGACAAACTTAAATTCAAAAACTGGGCCAAACTAAATATTTACTGAAAGATTTCAACAACATCTGCATGTTTTCTCTTCTTTCGAGATATAACGTTAAACCTTTTCTTATTAAAATAAATGTTTAACAATAGTTTTGCTTAAACACTGAATCCAGAACAAGCATAATATAAAATAATAACAGCTTTAAAAAAAACAAAAACAAAAAAAAACAACTAACAACAATTTTGAATGAATAATGTTTCTATAGCCCATCTGTAGTCGGCAGAGCAGCTCATATACATATTTGATTTGATCTTGCAGGTCTGCTTCGGAGATTAAGTACTATTTTTGCAAAGAAGAAAAATAAGTTTTCTCTTGTCTCGTTTTAATCCAGTATACTGAAAGAATCCTAATGTTAAAGGTGCATTGTGTAACTTTTCAGGTGGAGGGTCCGTCAAATAAATGCTTTTCTTAAGCATTACTGCTATGTGTGGAATATTTAACAGTATGGTATTAAACCACCTTCATCTATCTTCGTGGAGACCAAATTATCATAATTATCATTATTAAGATCTGTGGAGAAGCATCCTGCTCACAGTCAGAATGCCTGTTTTTGCCTGTTAGTGTAGTATTTTCGAGCTATAAAACCACCTGTAATTGAATAAATATAAGGTGGATATATTTTAGCCATACTGTGGAACATTCCAGGCAGTGTAATGACATATCCACAGAAACAAGCAGGTGATGGAAAGTTACAAAAGTTACATAGCCCACCTTTAAAATCACGCCATTAGACGATCCCACCTAAAGCCCATAGCTGTTGTGACTCTTTCAGCCTCCCATGACTTCCATCAGAATGTTTGCTTCTTATTATCCTTATCTACTATGAAACTTTCCCTCAACTATTTGCCAAATATTCATTCTGCGCAGCTGCAATAAGAAACGGCGTGCCTTTTTCTGTCTGACAGTTTGTGTGTGTAACTTTCGGTGATGCAACGCAGCTTTAAGACTTCTAACACACATCTGGGACATGTGCCATACAGATGTGGTAAGCGGGACATATTTTCAGTCTCTTTCTAACTTTGATTTGAGTTGAAGTTGAAAACCTGCATAATTTAAACCCTCAGATGGAGTAGCCTAATCCCACCGCCCTGCCCTCGCTGTCCCCTCGTCCCGGCAGCGCCAAACTGCTCCGAGGCACGAGCTGTGTTTAGTCTAAAAACTCTGCAACCCAAATGTGACGTGAAACATCTGGACAAAACACAAAAGAGAATGTAAACATAAATCAATTCTCTTCGGTTTTATTCCATTCTAACGCACTACTACACCACCGTAGTCGATCACATTCCCAGATCTTCCTCCCTCTCTCTCCCTCTCCCAGGTACACGCCCTTTTGACTTGTCAGGGGGAAACTTTTAGGAAAGAAAAAAAAATCACGGAATCGCGGAAGAGATTCTGCAGTCCTACTAGTTTGGCAAGTTCTCTGCGACTCAAAGCGGCGTAGAAAGGCGGGGATCGGTGCACTATCTGACTATTACGCGCGTTAGTTCACTTCGCAGTCCCGCAGACGCTAAACGGTGAGTTCAAAGTTTGTTTTTGAGGGGAGTTTATGAAGTTTTTCTCGCTGTTTAAGCACTGCATTTGGTGCTGCTTTTGCCACGTTTCGTTAGAGTCAAGAGCCATCCCCTGTCGGATTCATTGACTGCAGCCCGCTCTACTTTTACGCAGACATCATTGTGGCTTTTAAACTGTACAAACTTGTCTTTTTGTTTTATATGTGCGGGTTTGTTGGGTTTAAGCAGCGCTAGATGACATTTCACCTCGTCTCTGTTACTCCTCTGTTGGAAGGATATCTGATATTTTGATGTAGATCAGCTGTCAAGTTGCCTATCAACTGAAAATAGCCTATCAAAAATTGAAGTGCTGTGCAAGCAGAGCGCCAGGTAGCATCAAATAATGGTTGTGTTATTGGGATGCAGCTTAAGTGTTAAATCAGAATTTTGTGCGCAATTTACCGCCACTTATACGCTATTTGGGTCCATTTGGTAACATATGCTGCAATGGGATGCCTTCACAGAGAATGTTTGGCTCATTTGGTGTTGAGTATTGGCGAAACTGAAGGCGTGTTGACAGCCGCGCTCAGACCCGTGTGTTATGGCCAAACCGAAGCCAAGCGCACTGGCATGAAAGGCAGCCAGTGTCCGTCTGCGTACCGCAATTTACAGCCACAACCTAACTTGTTCCTCTGTTAATATTTGATGGCACACGAGCGGTAGTATTGTCATTACTCTGCGCACATACCGTATCGCATTCGCCTATTTGGAAACGCTACACTCAATCTCCTTTGGGCTCTGTGAGGAGAAACGGGAGACCCACGGTAGTAGCCTGGGCCTGTAAATTTAATTATTTGCGCAGGTTTTAAGGGGGCTTTTAAGACAAATAACTCGGATTAGTTTGTGTTCCCCATGGGACGAGATGCGGCTCTGACGTGGGTGTAGACCTGGGTTCATTTGTCGAAATTGTACCAAGTGTTTGAAATCCAAGAAACACCTCAAGACCGGTCTGGACGTAAATAATATATGTGAGAATAGACAAGAATAGCGTCTAAGAATAGAACAATATGTTTTGGACACTGACAGCACCCAGTGTGAAGTGCTGGAGTTTGGTTTAGAAGGGTGTCGCTACTAGAGGCTGAAGTCCTCTAGGTTCTTATACTCGCCTATTAACTGCTCTATTCCGTTTAATTTGCTCCATGCATTTTAACAAAAGCAAGATTCATTATTTCAGAAGATTTATGAGCAAATTTTGTTGTCATGGTTACTTATTCTATTCAAGCCTGGGCCTAAAAATTGCAGGCCAAGCCCCAACCCATGATGACAAGTTAGTATGATTAATTTAATAAAATCCTTAGTTTATGTTTTAAATCTGTTTTAAAATAAGTCATTACTAAGAGATAGACGCACTTGGCAATGCAAACGATTTATGTAACACAGCAATGCATAGATCATTTTAAAAGCTCCTTTACTATTTAAATTGTAAGAAGAAGAAGAAGGGTCTTTCAATTAAGCTTACTTTACTAAACATTCATGGATGCCCCAAAACTAGGCTCTTTAACTAGCATTTAACATAAAATCATTAACATAAAATCTAACTTGTCAACAAGTCTGTTTAAGTCATATACCGCTCTTCATATTTACTTTTCAGGTATATTTACTTTAAACTATTAAACAGTCACATGCAATCTGTGGCTCTAGTTATCGGAATTAACTAATCTTGATAATATAACTTAACTTAATTTATCTATCTGGGTAAAGTTAGATTTATTTTTCTTGTCTAGGCAAACTTCATAGTAGAGGGCATGACATAGTACAGGGCATGAAAAGTCTACAGTATGGGATCAGTAGGTCAGTGTGAAATAGTAGATTTTAATAGCACTGTCCTTCGTCACACCCTTCTGTATCTCGTAATGACGCTAACAGGAACACGTCCTAATTGGTCACATATGCTCACAGAGAAATTGCGTTTGCTCCCTGGTGGGTAGTTAACTGTGACATGCACTTTTAGTAAATTAGAGAATAATTATTGTAGACAGAACAATAGACACACGCACATACTGCGGCTGGTTACTGGTGCGTTTAAAAGCACTCTACATCCTGTCTGGTCAAGCTGTCTGTTGTCACCGGGTTGAGACTGTCATAGTCTGTGTTATTTGCACAGTAGTATTTTAATAACTAAGATGACAGACTATTACAGTCCTTTAAAACATGTAGCCCCCTCCTCTCAGCCTTCTGCTCCGGGCCAAACTACCAGCTTGGAATTGTTGGCCTGTAAATTCCTGTCTAAGTGATCTTCGCAGACAGCAATGAATGGAATTCCTGCCAAGATGTGTCACCTACTGCACGTTTTACACTTGTAGCGTCTTTGCTATGCATTGATCATAATCTACGCTGCGTCGTTCAATCATCTCTCTGTCTCAAAAGGAGTGGGTGGGCAACTGAATGGAATAGCTGGCATTTGTAGTATTAAGGGACATGCTGTTAAATTGTGGGCTTTAACTTACAGACTAGAGTTAGCCTTTAATCACAAAATGTATTATAATGGTAATCTAGTCACATATAATATAATGCAGGTAGTCTTCTAAAGGAAGATCAAATTAAAATGCAAGACTGCTTGTTGTCTGTGATACATACATACAGTCTTCCCAAGTCTGCATAGATTGCAAATCAATAAATACATTTAGTTAGAGTTGAGCCATTAATTATATTTTAAATGAGATTCTGTAATTTGTAAGTGATATGTTTGGGTATTTTTATAATGCATTTCATGATAATTAGACACCCAGGGGACTTTGAATTTGTAGAAATACCCTATTGTGTAATACAAGCTTCGAACAGGTGGCCAATGGGCTAAACTGTAATTACATGTGAAACAATGAGATTAGAGTTAATGAGTGAGAAGACAAAAATAAAGCATGACGACAGGCATTGGCCAGTCTAGTTCATGCCAGTGTATCATCATACATACATATACTTTACATGGGCGCAGGGGTGGGACCGGTGGCAGGGAAGAGGCAGCCACAGACATGTACTAGGTAATCCCTCAGGAAACCTAACACGGGTTCTGCTGGCAGCTTGAGGAGATCGGGTGACCTATCAAAGATCAGAGCGGCCTTTGTCATGAGCTTGTATCTCAATCAGACTTGCTCTCAGCCTCTTCACGTCACTGTCTCCTTCAGCTCCACACAGCAGATTAACTTGTGCATTTTCCACTAGATGTCTGTCACAGTTTAAAATCACACTGTAATACTTCCTCTACATAAACTGACACAGCTCTTGTTTACTTATATAAAATAGTGATGTTTATTGAAAGAATGTTTCATTATTTGTTCCTTTGTTTTGACCTTTGACCTCTGCCTGCAGAGGAGTCATGGAGCCTGCTATTAAAACCATAGTGGATGTCTACCTGAAGTCCAGCAAAGGGAAGGAGAGCCTGGGAAAGAAGGAGTTTCAGACCCTCGTCAAGACTCAGCTCAGCAACATCCTCTCGGTTAGAAACATTTCTTATAAAAGTGTCTCCCACGCTGTTGTTAATTATGTAACCACTACACAAAGTGCCAAGGAGTTCAGCAGACAGCCTGAGCTGCCTGAACCTGTCTGCTCTGGCAAATACTGGGATATGTATATACAGCATGTGAATGGGAAAAGTAATGTGATATACATGTGTATTATAATGTAAATAGAGGAGCAGATAAGAGGGTCATTTGCTCTTGGTGAGAGTCCAGCTCGAGTTACTTACAGCTCATCATCATGTCTCCTGTCATTGTGCCCTATAGGATACAGACAGTAAGGAGGCGATCAACAACATGGCTGCCGGTCTTGACGAGAACCATGATGGTAACCTGGGCTTCCCCGAGTACATGAAGCTGATTGGATACTTGGCCATCTCCCTGAGCGAACAGCGCGCACTTGCCAAAGAGGAGTCTAACCAGAACGCCACAGGCCAAGTGGCTCAGACCGAGGCTAACGCAGAGGTCAAGGCTGAGCCTAAAGTGGAGGTGAGGGAGGAGCTTGCCGCAGCAGTTCCTGCTGTAGAGCTCAATGTAGAGGCTCCCAAGGTTGAAGCAGAGGGAGAGGTGAAGACCGAAATAGAGCTCCCCAAAGAAGAGACCACTGATGTGGTGGTCACCACGACAACAACAACAGTGGTGACAGAGGAGATCAATGGAGAGGTCACTGAGGTGACGGAAGTGACGAAGGTGGTGGAGGAGGTGAAAGAGGAGACAGTAAAAGCAGAAGATGCTCCTGCGGCTGAAGAGAAGAAAGAGGAGACAGCTTCATAGAGGACAGTACTGACCCAAAGTCCACACTACAGAGCAATAGCCCTGCCACTCTCCAGTGGCAACAAACTCCTGATTTTGTAAAACACTACCCGAACCCTGAAATAATGAACTCTGGCAAACACTAAAATCAAGTCTAAAAATATCTAAAAAGTATATGCCTTTATATTTGATATCCCTTGTAGATGGCATTTGAGTGTGACTTTGTACTACTACTTTATGTCCATATGTACAGCATGTGTATCCCCTTATTTAGCACGTTTACCTCATGATATATGATGCTATGAGTCGATCCCTGTGAAACATGTGCCACTTGACAAACCACTAGAGCCAATGCGTCCCATCTCTCTCATCAGGCTCAGGGCTGTATCAACTGTCAACAAAACAACTCCAGAACAACTTTACACCATTTTAACATGACAATAAACAAGTCGTTTTGCTTTTGTCCCTATTCCTCCATTCACTCTCACTTCTGCCTTTTGTTAGTCTAAACCACACTGACCCCAGTTTTGGGATCCCCCAAAAGATTATTTTCTCTTGGAGCATCCATGGGTTACAAGGTGGACAGCCTGTAGTTAAATAATTAAGTGTCCAAGATGGAAAGCACACCAAAAGGCCCTGTGGTTCAAAGGAGGTCTGTGTCGTCCATTGGGATCAGGCTTTAGGTCAGGGAGGTGTTCGCTCATGCAACCTAATCCTGAGGATTAGATCTGGCCATAGCTCCACTAACTAAAGACTACAGAGTCTCGGACACGACAGGTGTCACTGGTGTTAGATATGAGAATATGTGCCTGATTCAGTCCTACTGTGAGATGTGGGCCAACTGCAGTAATGAGCAGAGCCCATATAGAAATACCCTATTGTTTTGTGAGCCTGTTGTTTTCACTTGTCCACGCTTGTGTTTATTGTCTTTGCTGGTCACGCCCCAGTACAGTTAAAAACCCTGTTTGACCTGCAACTGGATCCTTATGTCCCGAGCATTGGAATAGTGTGGATTAAGCATCTGGTGGTAACACGCCCAAGGAAACAAACAATTACATGAAAGTAATCCTGGGCTTCAGGGATGCGCTGATCAGACAAGAGCTGGTAGTAGTTTTATGATATGTGGAATAAAATACTGAGCCATCAACATGAACCTATGTGCTTTTTTATGCCAGTGTAAAACATTGCATGCTCAAAAATCTATTTTGTTATTTGCTGTTACTATGGCCATTGCTTCATGTATACAGGTTCCTACCATATTGTATTTATCGTTTTTATTGGACCACTATGGATATCACTTGAAAATGCTTTACCCCATTATATGAAATTATAATTTTATATTTTTTTATCATTAATAATTCAGCCTTATGAAAATGGCTGTTGTTTCTTTAATATGTTTTCTAGGAGGTTTGCTTGGCCAGCCTGTTTTACTTTCAGCTGTATCGCTGCAGCACCTGGCGCTCAAACCGCTAAACAGAAAGACAAATACAGTACTATATCCCTGCCTCTATGGGACACTCCCATTGTAAATACAACAGTCTTATACACTACTCAGCCTTTTCCTTGATATTTCCTGCATGCTTTTTACAGACTAACAACCATTATATTGGACATGTGGGCTTTTAAACAATATTTTTATAGGTATATTTTTATATTTTACATATTATGGTACTTCTTGTGAATATTGGAGACATATCAGAGCTTTGCACCATTTACAAGGGCTAAACTCGCATCTTGTACATGCAGACCACACCAGCAGGCTACATACTTTTGAGGTCCCAATAGGCCAGTGGTTTCATTTTGCAATCTTCTTTCCTCTCCCTCTTTCAGAATCAATGGAATAAGTGTCTCAAATTAACCAGAACTTGCACTACACATAAAACTGGACTCTTGCCAATACATTCCTGTCCAAATGAGATGTTATGTGCAAATTCTTTTAATGCAGCTTTGGAGTTTAACCTCTTAAATGATAGCGATAATAAGTTGCATAAATCTAGTGACTTTAGGGGCGCCTTTTGAAATGTCTGGCTGTAATAATGTAAGCTGTCCCATAGTGAAAACCCCACCCATCCTTGATGTTGATTAGAAACATTTGCAGGAGGGAGTGTTTACAGCCACACTTTTATTACTGCACAATACGTCTTATTATATGAAGAGATACCATTCCGGCGGATGTGCAGATGTGCTTTTGTCCCCATTGTATTTTTATTTCCTCCCCAATTAAAAGTTCATTGCAATGTCTTGTAAACATCATTTGTATTTCAAACTTGTAATGCTGTATCATTTGTGCCTTATCTATGTAACATGTAATGGCTAATATTGAATAAAACTGTGACAATATTATACTTAAAGTGTGATGATTTGGATCTGATGAAGGCAAAGTTGAAGTATAAGTAATTTGACAGGTGAGGTGGCCAAGTTGTTAAGTAATATTAAAGGTGCATTGTGTAACTTTTCCGCTTTTCTCCTTGGAGATGTTCTTGCTTTGTCTGAAGTGTTTCACAGTATGGTTAATTACATATTTCTATCTTCATGGAGACCAACCAGACCAAGTTATAGGTCAGATCTGTGGAGAGGCAACCCCGCTCACAGTCAGAATGCCTGTTTTTATATTTTTGAGCTTTAAAACCACCTGCAATTGTATAAATGCAAGGTATAGCTATGTGGAATATTCCAGGCAGAGTAATGACATATCAATAGAAACAAGCAGGTGACACACCCCCAAAAAAAGGTTACATAGTGCACCTTTAAACATATGGTAGTACGTTTATAGAGGCAGTAGAGCAAAGTTTTGAAAATGTACTAATGTCTAGTAGTGGTGGTAGTACTTTTAGTAGCAGTAATGGTGATAGTAGTAGTAACAGTAGTAATTACAGTAATAGGAGTGGAAGTACTAATTGTTGCGGAATCAGCAGTAGTTGTTAGATTGCCAAGGCTCAGGTGGCAGTGCCTCTAACCATCTGACCACAGGAGCAAAATGTCCTCAGAGTAGTGTTACTTCAAAATAATTTTACTTATTAGCGAAAGAGCTGGGGAAACTGTAGGTCAAATGGTATTTTTAATGGAAATAGTACAAAAACGTTTCACTTGGGAAGAGTAAGCAACATCTCTACACTGTAAAATATGTTACTTAAGAATAAATAAAAGTATGGTGTCTGGAAACGACTTGGGGAACCTGTCACTCAAATGGTATTTTCAAAGAAAATGCTACATAAACTTTTCATTTCCAAAAACTGGGAAGGGTAAGCAACATTTCTACACTGTAAAATATGTTACTCAAGTATAAATAAAAGTATGGTATCTGGAAACGACTTTGTGAAGTACTGCAAACTTGGGGAAACTGTCATTCAAATGGTATTTTCAAAGGAAATACTACATAAACTTTTCACTTACAAAAAATGGGGAGAGTAAGCAATATCTCTACACTGTAAAATATATTACTGAAGTATAAGTAAAAGTGTCTGGAAATGACTTTGAGAAGTATTGCAAAATATAATTAAATTATTTCAAATCGGGAAAAAAGTTCACTCAAGTTCACCCAAAATACTTTTGCCCAGTTGACTTTTTATTTTAGTTTCTTATGGATCCTACGTGGTTGACTGAGGGATTACACAGACATCTTTGAGAACTACTATTTTATTTACCACCCACTTCTGTGAACAAGACATTATACCCACCTTGGCTCTGGGCCTGTGCCAGTGGTGACAACACAAGCCATTGGCACAGAAAGCCGCCTATAAAAGCAGTGGGGATAGATGCGAAGAGAAACAGGAAAATGTTGTTGTAATAATAAAACTGGATTAATTTAAAGTGAAAATGAACAATTTTTATTAAAATAGAAGATCAGACTCTTACTGCTGTAGCACAATGTATGTCACACAGGGTTTGAACAAAATGTCACACTGATTACAAAAATAAAAGTCCTAAATAGAAGTCCTTTATTCTTAAAAAATGGTGTCCAATATGTAAGAATAAATAACTTGTATTTTTTCGAAGCCACAAAACTTTTATTTGCGTGCCCGTCATGTGCAGCTATCCTTCCACCTGTGCTTTGTGTTGATGTATTAATGGAGGACAGGTGGGGGTGTGTATCCAGTGGGTGCTGCTGGCCCGTTAGTGGGTGAAGGTGTTTTGGGGGGAGGAGAGGGAGGAGAAACAGGTGATATTTAAGCCACTGGACACTGGCTCTTCTTCCATCCTCTGCTTTGACTCTGTCTTCCGCATCTTTTCATTCACACTAACGAGGTCCTCCATCAACGCTCAGGTAAGACACACTACGCTCCTATGATCTATACTTACATTATTTATTGTTAACTATAAAATGTATTCTGAAAAATATTACATTTCAAATCTCCATATTTATGTTTGTGTGATAAGTGATTTGTTTATACAATTTGAAAATGAAAACTATTTCATACTATAACTTTTTTATATGACCCCTTGAGTAGCCATTGGTTATTTTTATTCAAATGTCATTTCATTATAGTTTATGATTTCAGTGAATACATTGTATGTATTTAAAATGTATATAGGCAACTAAACAAGATACAATTTTGCATTTAGTGATCTAGAAATATGAATGGACACCAAAAGATCATAGGTCATCCTCTTTGCATCAATTCAAAGTCATTTATGCATTATTAGCATACTTAATATAGAGTTACGGTTGGCATTCTGGTCGCCATGGTTTCCCTTTGTCCTGTGTTAGCCACTGAGACCGATGACCCCTATAGATTTTCCATTTAAGGCGGCTTTGGTGTCCACTGGCCTCTTTCTTTTCCTCTTTTGTCCAGGCCACCCACTGGACTGACCGCTGCACTACAATTCTCCATTCCACCTTAAGATGCCCTGTAGTAATCAATGCTTTATAAATCATGCACAAGTAAATATGCATGGTTGCTCAAAGTCAGTCCAGGATTAGCAGATTTTTTTGACAGTGTCTATATAGGGGTAGGTAAACGCAGGGCCCCTGACTGTACCATGCTTGAAAGTTTAATGATATAGGGCTAAGCGAGCGTAGAAATGAAGGAGCTCACCTGTTTGTGGGTTATGAGTACACAAGTTTAGTGTTACCGTCTTTCTCAATGTGATTACCAAACCAGTTTTACGTTTCACTTCTGGTTTCTGTTCAAATGATGGGGGCTTAAGTTACACGAGATCACTGAAGGACACTCAAAACTGTATTAGAAAGCATGTCATAAGTTGTTGTTTTATTGCTTACATTGTTTTTGATGCTTTAACCTAATCTTCCTCATTGACAGTGACCTGAGTCTGTCTGTGCACAGTCTCTCAACGCGCCCACCACTCCGACTGCCAAGATGCCCAACACAATGTGTGTAAGATTGTATAAAAGAAAAAAAAAAACTTCTCCAACAGATCTTTTCCAACTTTCCATCCAAAATCTCTCATCTAAACCAGTAAGGTACTTCACGCACTGGCAGACTAATACACTTAAATTACCTCTGCTCTAGCCTCTTGCATTGTGTTATCTGATCTTTACTCTTGGGTCAAGCTTCTCATCAGTCCGTCTGCCTGTCCAGCTATCACTTGAGTCTTATTGGCGGCTTCACCCTTGATTGCTATGTGACCGCACACATGCAAGGCCAAGGGATGGAGCGAGCATTTTGTTGCAGTCACTGACCTCTTAACCTCAATCTTCCCACACAGTATGTCCAAGGAGCCCAGTTCCAACCTGGAGAGTGCCATGCAAATGCTCATAAAGACCTTCCACAAGTATTCAGGCAAAGAGGGTGACAAGTACACACTGAGCAGAGGAGAGCTGAAGGAGCTGCTAATAGAGGAGCTGGGTAGTTACTTGGGGGTAAGTGTGGCAACAGATAACGACAAGGTTCACACACATACTTTTCACAAATAAGCAGCAAAAATCCTCTGACACACGAGTGAAGGTATGTAGTGCACACAAGTAGAGACAGGCCCATGTATGCAACCATTCTTAAGCCGCTTCTTCTGCTCAAGGGGGAAAGAGTAAAAGAAAATAGTACTTAAGTAGGAGTATTACTTTATATTACTTGAATTGTTAAATAAGCCGTTATTTGTATTTGAAGTATTAAAAAATATTGTGCTTTCTAATCAAATAAAAAAATACAGATCAAAATGCAAACTGTAAGCTTTGAAATCAGTTTTGCAACATTTGAGGATTCCTTGATAGCCAAGGGGTTGTGGGTTAAATTCCCACTCTGCATAGTGCGTAAATTGAGCAAGACATACTCACACTTTCCCAATAAGGTTATTTTATGTTGTTGGTTGTGACAGGTAGGGCATCTGGAACAATACATAACAACATAATACAATACATGCAGATACTATTTGACTAGTAAGAGTAAGAGTATGACCATGGGTTACTTCACTTTTAAGTTAAAAGTTGCGGTAAAAGTATGAAGTTACTTAAATGAGCTTATCCATGGGTTTCTGAATAATGAACCACAAGGGCCGCTGCCATAGACAATTTAAAACAAAATAATATATCTTTAAAAGGTTGAAAACTCCTCGAAATGTCACCTATAACTTGGCGAAGATGAAACCCATGAATTAGTATCCTACATGTAACCTCCTCTTTGCTCTCTCCGTTCTCCAGAACTCCAAAGATAACGAAGCCGTAGAGAAGGTCATGAACGATCTAGACGCCAACAACGACGGAGAGGTGGACTTCACTGAGTTCATCATCCTCATGGGGGCCCTCACGGTCGCCTGCAATGACTTCTTCCTCGAGTACAAGACAGATGACAAGCCCAAAGAGGAGAACAAAGAATGAAGGATAAGTCTGCACGAGATGTGTGGGAGAGGAGGAAAGCATTGTAAATTACAGGGAAAGGTTCACTATTGTCTTATGCAATTTGTAAACTATACACAATTACTTGCATTGCTGAATATGGCAGTGTCCAAGTATAGTTTCTCTTGGTGCAATCCAAGAGAGTTTGTTTTTCTTTTCTTGTTTTTCATACCAAAGCATGTCCGGAACACTGTCTCAACATTACCAACAGGATCCTCTCTCTTTTCTCTAAATGATGTGACACTTTCTGGTATGTTTAGAATGAGGCAATGGAAACAGGAAGCCAGGGATATTTGAGAAATTTGTGCACGTGAATTTGTTATTATATCAAGTTAGTTCAGATTATATTATTGTATGTACTCAAAAAGTGTTGAAGAAAGAAGTAATGTACCCACTTTCTTTTGTAATCTATTTTGGTAATAATCACCATAATGTATTCTGCAAAAATATTAAACTTGGTATTTAACCAAAGGATGGTCTGTTTGTTTTCTTGAGTGGGAATAGTATAGTAGTTTTTCACTTAGTCACTCTCCCTTTTTTTTTTTTTTTTTTAAATCTGACTCCTTAAAATGTGTTATGTAAATAAATTTTGTATTTTTTGTTCATTTTCAGACGATCTTGAAATGTATTTGGTTGTGTTTACTAATGAGTGCATAGTGTCTCTATAGATAACATTCTGGCAATAGACATACATGTAGAACACCCCTAGCGTAATGCTACTGTGAAGTATCATTATAGTTATTAAAAGTAGTTTTGTCAACAGATTATTCTATTAAGGTTGTGAGTAATTGTCAGATAATGTTTTTGAACAGTGGTTTTCAGTCTTTCCACATTAACACCTACAACAATATTTGTCTTTCCAAGTAGCACCAGATCTGAACCCAGAATCTGTCATCTATTTGTCGTTATTATTAACCCAGATGAGTGCAAAAACATGACTAGAATTGTCTTTAAAGATGCATTGCGCAACCTTTCAAGTGGAGCCTCATCTCCTTGTCTTCACGGAGATGTTATTGCTTTGTCTAGAATGATCCACTGTAGAGATTAAACCTCTATTTCAAGGGAGACAACTACAGGCTACATTACAGGTCAGATCTGTGGAGCGGCAACCTTATTCACAGACATTATTCTATTTTTGAGCAATAGAAACACCCAACATTCCAGAAAAAGCAATAACATCTCCATGGACACCACCAGAAAAGTTGCGCAATGCACCAAAACACTCAAACTGGAGAGGGCTTCTTGTACCACAGTTTGAGAAACACAATTAGTGCATTCAGGCAAATAAATAATAATAATTACAAGAATAAGAAACATTTACAAATTGTGGGACTCAGAATAATAAACATCTTATTATCATATAACCTGCCAAAACAAGCCACAGAAACAGAACACATCTATTACTGTGTGAGAATAAACAACACTGCCAATAAGTTTAATGGAGGGATTCAAACAATTATGTTCACATTTGTCTGGAATGTTTCACACCGTGGCATTAAACCTTTCTATCTTTATGGCGACCAAACCAGACCAAAGTACAGGTCAGATCTGTGGAGAGGTGACTTTGCTCACAGTCAGAACGCTTGTTTTTTCAGGTATTTTTGAGCTATAAAACCACCTGTAATTGAGTAAATGTAATGTAGAATGGTTTAGTGTCATACTGTGGAATAATATCTCTATAGAAACAAGAATATATGACTGACCCATAACCAAAAAGTTACATAGTGCAGCTTTAGGTATGTCACTATAAAACTGCTTTAAAAAGAGCTCTGAAAAACACAGAAGTAAATGTAAGCGAATATGTAATTCAACCACCTCTTCAAATTTGCTTTCAATTGCTGTCCCTTTGTTTTGACTGGGGGTGTGTGAGTTATTGTCTCTGTGTGAGTGTGTCTATTGGGGAATCCCACAGAGTAAACGGCTCCAGCTCCACACTCACATCCTGCCAACAATATCCTGCAAGTCTTGTTCCACGAGATATAAGCTGACCCAGATGTTTGCCTTGGATCCACGAGGAAACCTTCAAAAAGCAGAGAGAAGGGGAAGGCGTGTGTGTGCGGAGGAGAGAAGTTTGAATCAACGTCTCTATGGGCACAATAGGGAGCTTCGAGGAGAGGATCCAAAACTGTGGACTACATCAGGGAGGTATGTACGTTGGAAGGCAGTGGTATAATCAGACTGGAATGCTTCACTGGTGCATAGCTGAACCCGAGCTGTAAATCAACACAAACATCCACCTCATTGGTTTTCACAACTGTCTGTCACTTTCAGAACATGACAAAGCCAAGCCATTGCATCATACGCTTCATCACTGAATAAACTCTGAGGTGCGGTCCGGAAATTGGAATCGTTGTTATTTTAAATCATTAAGTGGAAGTAAAAGCTGTGTACTGTATGCTGTTCATTTTCTTGAATGGGGAGAGTAGCCAGTTTTATTTAAGTTTTTTAAAATCATATTAGATAGATACAACACATCATACAATACATAACATCAATTTATATAAATTTATAAATTTATAGTGAAGCTTGGAATAGCCATATGGCACAGTTGCAATGTGTTTTTAAGTTTTTAGGTAATAAAGTAGTGATAGACTGCAAAAAACTTGGCCAAAATTCAAGATATAAACACTTAAATCTATCAGAAAAAGACTTAAAAGTTGTGAAATTATGTGTCCATGCAGCAAGATAGTTTACTTGACAAGTTATCTTAAAATGAACTACCTCTAGACTAGAATTAATCAGTCTCAGAACTAGTAAGTAGATAATAAATCTGAAAACAAGATGAATAACCTGATAAAAGTTTTAAAATCTTGGCCAGATCAGAGAAATTTGCAGCTGATATCATCCACATTCCCTGGGGGTGTGATGCTAACTGTAAGCGCTGCTCTGTCTGAGGCTTGTTAGACTTCTGACAGTAAAGAACTGACTTAAAGGGACAGTTTGGAATTTTGAACATAGGACCTCATTTCCTAGTGAGCCAGAGTGTTGGAGACGTGTGGAGACACTTTTTAAAATATTCCATCCAGTCCTTGTATTTGCAGAGGTCGCTGGTGCTAGGCTAGTGCATGTCAATGGCCATAGTTAGCCTGTCTTACCCACTCCGCAAAACACCCGAAGCAAAACAATTATTACGCCAGATTGTCGATGTAAATATCTGTGTTGATATAATAATGTTTGAAATAAAACTAACCTTGCATCGCATGAATCGTTGCATGTTGAGGGACTATTTTCTCATGTATCAGTCCACTGATGCCAAGCTTTCTATCAGGAAGTACAACTCACTGCTGCTGCTTAGACATAAATCCTTCAAATGCAAGGTTGATTTTACTTCTAAAATTATTATTATATTGTTTTGTGGAGTGGGTAAGACTGTTTTTAGTGGCAGGCTAACTATGCCCATTGACATGCACTAGCCTAGCACCAGCGACCTCTGCAAATACAAGAACTGGATGGAATATGTGGAAGTGTCTCCACACGTCTCCAACTCTCTGGCTCACTAGGAAATGAAGTCCTATGGCCAATATTCCAGACTGTCCCTTTAACCTGAACTACAACAGGTGAGATGATTTGTGCTTTTAAACAAGACCCTCTCAAATAAATTAGTCCCAAGATAGTAAGCATTAACCAACAGTTTTTTATTTTAGTGTCTCAGCTTTTTGTTGAAACTGGACCATGAATGCTCTTATTGATCACAGGCTCGTGAAAGTGTCTTGTTTAAATCAATTTAGTATTTTTTCTTGAATTTTCAGATGATCTTTACTTCACTTCATCACTAAATAAACTCATAGGTGTAATCTGGAGATTCTCTTTGTTGTTATTTTAGGTCATTTAGGTGGAAGTAAAAGTTGTGTCTGTTGAGTACGGGGTTTGGATATCTGGTTTAGAATTGAATTACAGCGAGTTGGCAGGTTTATTTCAGACTGACAAGAATTATAAATTGACAACAATGAATGTACTGTTCAGTTCTTATCAATCATAAAGGTGCATTGTGTAACTTTTCTGGAGGAGGGACTGTCACCTGCTTGTTTCTGTGGAGATGTCATTGCTCTACTTTATATTTATTCAACTGCAGGTGGTTTTATAGCTCAAAAATACATAGAAAAAGAGGAATTCTGAGTGTGAGTGGGGTCATCTCTCCACAGATCTGACCTGTAACTTGGTCTGGTTTGGTCTCCGGAGAAGATAGAAAGGTTTAATGCCATACTGTGAAACATTCCAGACAAAGCAATAACGTTTCCATAGAGAAAAGCATTTGACACACCCTTCACCAGAAAAGTTACACAATGCAACTTTAATCTCTTTAATCTCTTTTAATCACTGGGCCTTGAGGAACAAATTTCCTTCTGTCATGAGTTTTTCTTTCATGTTTGAATGACAAATGAAGAACCGGGAACTTTGAACTTTGACCGTTTAGGCAATCAAACCACATTAGTAGAATTATAATAAAATGTTTTCTTTTTGGTGAAGATCTGCATCCTGTTCTGAAACTGTAAAATAAATTAAATAAACTAAATATCTATCAAATCCATGTCTAGACAAATAAGCCAAAGGCAGCAGTCAAGTGACAGTATTGCAATCTCAAACTACCTATTCAAAACTACCTTCATGCACAATTACACATACACCCCTTGTATAAACATAAATTATGGTTTGAATTAGACTCCTCCCCTAAAACTGACAGATGATAACACTTTATGAACAGCGAAAGGGGCTAGGTCTTTTCTTCTTCTCTTCTCTCTCGGTGACCTCATTCATTGTGATTGGTGCGTTTGAATGTTTGCGCTCAGAGACAGGTAAACAAAAGAAAACAGGAGTGTCAGTTAACCCTAGAGTCGCCTGCAGACAGACCCAGTCAAGTGCGTTCATGTTGGAAAGGCCAGAGAGGACATGCAAAACAGGCCAAACAAAAGCAACCACTGAGCTGTATTTTATACCTAAAGCTCTTTTATTGTTTGGTTATTACATTGTTTTATTGTATTCTATTGTTATATTTTGTATCAGGCCTATTTAGAGCGGGGCTTTTGTGGGAATGTTTTATCTTTTTGTCATGTTGTGATTGACGCCATTCAGGATTAGCATGTCGTGTCTCCTGCCAAGTCAATTTTTAATTTTAATTTTTAAATCCAGTCTAATCTAACCACTCCTCTGAAAAATAAAGGGCAAATGCAAAGTAGTATTAAGTAGTAGTAGGTATCTGTACTTTACCTACATTTTGAACTGGACTGAAAAGTAAAAGTATTTTTTATTAATGTTTGACCTGCTGAAAAGGCTGGGGGTTCATTTTTTAACATGTTTGTAGTTTGAGAA